TAAACTGCTTCCTCACATCTGCTTCATGAATATGAAGAGTTGTGGTGGGAGGATCTGCTGCTGCATCTTCTCAGAGTGCTGATGTTTAGCAATGTCCACTTCTTTAGTGAACCTGTACTTGGCCTCTCTGTAGCAGTCCCTGTCTCCGCTTCTGAACGCCTTTCTCTTTTCCAGCCACAGCTTTTTGAGTTTAGGAGTTTTTGTGTGTGTGGAGTGCACAGGACACGGAAAATTCAGTGACACATAGCAAGCAAATATCACCTAATATTATAATAACTTTATAAAGCCTAAAAACACGAGGGCGAAGAATGTTTCAGGTTTAGAAACTCTGTTTTAGGGAACAAAAGGTTTGGCCTAAAAGGGACCCATCATCATCATCATCATCATCATCATTATTGTTATTATCACTTTCATCTACATTTTTATTCCTGGACTCCACTAGAGTAGCTTTACATGACACACAGTGGCACATTAATCTTCCTCTAATCGGCACGAGCCGATTTTGTTTCTGTCTCTTTAAGGCCCCCCTCCCTATGAGCCCACATTCTTCTGATTGGCCAGCTTCTGGAAGCCTGTTGGGAAGCAGCTCCCAGTGATTCTGGCTTGTACTTCCTTTATTCTGTTAGCTGACTCACTGTCGAAGCTTTTGTTTCCCTCTGTATTTCAAACTCTAACTCGTCACAGGAAACACAATTCATCTCCTTTAATATTCAGATGTTTGTAGCTGATGTATGACTCGGTGGTGCAGTCCACTCCACAGTCCTCTAAAGAGTGTGGGAGTTGAATGTTCCAATCAGACTAAAGAGTTGATTAAAGTTTGTAAAGTTAACGACTCGTACCTCCTTGAAGCGTTGTGCCCAGTCTGACCCAGTCTAGCCCTGTTTGACCCCGTTTCATTTAAAGCACTACACAAGGAACCAAGCTGCACCCAAAGCCCACCAATACACTCACTGGTCACTTTATTAGGTACACCTCTGCGGTAACAGGTTGGACGCCCTTTGTCCTGTTTTAATTCTTCATGTCTCAACATTCCTGTAAGATTTTGGTTCATATTAACCTGACATCATCATGACATCATCCCAAAGCTGCTGCAGATTTGTCATCTGCATCCATGATGAGAATCTCCCGTTCCACCACATCACAAAGGTGATCCACTGGAATGAGATTTTGGGCTGAAACATTGGTTTCCCTCAATATTTGAGTACAGTGAACTCATCATCATGTTCAAGGAACCAGGCTGAGATAATCTGAGCTTTGTGACACGGTGTGTTATCCTGCTGAAAGCAGCCATCAGAAGATGGGTTGGACATGGTCAGCAACAACACTTAGGTAGGCTGTGGGGTTTAAACGATGCCACCACACTAGCAGCTTCAGAGGTGCTCTTCTTTATGCACGGCTCTGTAACAAGCAGCTGTTTGAGTTATCGTTGCCTTCATGTCATCCTCCTCTGACCTCAACAAGTCATTTTCTCCCAGAGAACTGCTGCTCACTGGGTATTTCCTCTTTTTCCGACTGTTCCCTTTAAACACAGAGATGGTTGGTGGGAAAATCCCAGTTACAGCAGTTTCTGAAACACTCAGACCAACAACAACACATCACCTGTCTTACCCATTCTGATGCACAGTTTGAAACTCAGCAGGTCTCCTCGACCACATCTTTGCACACTGGGTTAAGCCGTGTGCTTGGCTGATAAGACATTTGAGCTAACAAGCAGTCAAACAGGTGTACCTAATAAAGTGAGAGATGAATGTAGGTTTTCCATGACACACTGTCAGGATGTGGTCATGTACAGCAAAACAAAAGGACTGAAGTTGTCCTGCAGGTGAAGAAATGCTTTATGTATGTTTGCTTTGTTTAACCAGCAGATTTGTGAAGTTCAGATAAGTCTTTACAGACGTAATCGTCAGCTTTATTTATACAGCTAGCTCTGGTGTGCTACAGTAAAAGAAATTAAAGTAGAACGATGTGTTCAATTAAACTGAGATTAAAAAGGAGTCAATGTATTTAACATATGCATTCATAAAATGACCAGCCTCATTTCTTACTTACAGTTCTTACTCTCATTAGCATGAGCCTAAATGCGTGTTAGTGCGCAAAGTTAAAGCTAGTACACTCACTATGTGCTACAGTTAAAGCTAGCGTAACCTAAAGTTATGCTAATTAAAGACTTTAAATGTTAGCTATCAAGCACTAGCTAATATTTTGTTCTAAAAGTTACTGCAATATTTAAATTAATATTCAACACACCTAGTAAGCTTACTAATGAGCTATTAGCTTGAAAAATATTAACACACGTGTGCTCATTAGCTATTAGCACACTACTGAATGAAGAAGCAGGGAGTTTTAGTTTGACGCACTGTTCTACTTCAAAATAATTTTCTGTGTAGTCGCAAAAATACTGACGCAACAGTTTTAGAAGACTGCATTTAATTCTTTTAACTGAATATTTGTTTATTTTCTGGCCATGTTTGCTAGCTAGTAATCTGTTAGCTGCAGGATAATAGGCTAGTTTTTTTTCTCTACTAGATATTGATTATTGAAATACCATGACAACGGGTTCACAGTCCCCTAGTTTGTGCCTTTTAATTGTTGATTTATAGTTTATAGCAACATTTATTAACTTTTGATATGTTAGATGAGATTGAAAAAAACTAACTTGGAACAGAATTTTTTTTTTTTTTTTTACTGAAAGTTGCTTATTTACCAAAGTACTAACATACTGAGTCAGAATTCCCAGAGTTCATTTACTATATTAACCAAAGTAAATATTCTGTCAGCCTTTTAGCAGCGAGTGGACTGTTAACTGTTAGCTCAAGAGCTAATTTATAAGCTAAGCTTCCCAACAGTTTCACAAATGATATTGTTTTGAAATTCAGATATGTACAAAATGTCACAGAAAATCTCCTTTGTGAACAGACATTCCTAACTTTATATATTAGGACAGTTATATGTTCTTTAGTACGGAAGAGGAATAGGGCCACTGTTTTTAAATAAAAAAAGGGCATGTCTTTTTTTTTTCTTTTCTAGAATTCTGAGAAAAAACTTTTTCGTCCAAATAATCTTTAAACTTTAATCTCTTTAAACTTTAATCTCTTTAATCACTTTAATTCTGAGATTAAGTCAGAATTCTGATAAATAAGAAGTTTTTTCTCAGTTTTTTTCCTCAGATTTCTAGAAAAGAAAAAAACAGGACGTGCTCGTTTTTTTCCCAGTGTCCCTAATCCTCTTCCGTACATTTCAGACTGTGCATTAAAATATTGGCTTTAATCTGAGCAGGTTTATATCACTGTAAAATTATCTGCTACCTTTTTCTAACTTTTAGATTTCAGTGATCATCTGATTCACAGTCTGATTCTATTTATTTGTCTTCATGTCATCAAATCTCAGGTGCGGCTCCGAACACGTCACATCTGATCGACGCAAATTTGGGGTTTTTTTGTGACAGCGTGATTTTCAAATTGATTTGAATTGGAATTATGTTTTGATAACCTAGAAAGGGACGTTTACAGGC